CCTGGCGTCATAACACGGCCTGTTTTTTTTTCGTAACAAACCTTAGTTAGGTAATAAACATCAGCTGAGGAATATGAATTAGTACCACATCGCAAGGTGACAGACATATGGCTGGTGAGGCGTGTACAAAACAGGAGGCATGTCGACAATGCAACTCATACCTTTCTCGGCCTTTTGGCTAAGATCAAGTGTAGTATCTGTTCTTATCGGTTTAATATCTGATACGTGGGACACGTGCCCACAGTGATATTAAATTTATCTTTTTATGGGGAGAATCTGATATAGTAGCTTGCTACTAAGGTTCTTGTGTCGCCCTAGCATTGCACTATTGCTTGGGCTTGGCACACCCCTACCAAATCAATTGTTGAAAGTTTGAAATATTTATTTTGGTTCATGGGTCAGGTTCTCTAAATTGGTTTACATTGGAACTCCAGTAAGCTCTGTAATTCAACTTTTTAATTAACAATAGAGTTAATGATATGTTTGAAACCATTAAGAGTAAAAAATCAATATGAATGCAGTAGAATTTGGATCTTATTTTCTCTTGTAGAATATGAACATTAGTGTTGTCTTGAACGGAGAATATGTATCGTGTGATTAGTAATTACAATTCTCAAATTCTATGCACACTAATCAGTAATCATCCAGTGAGTAGGACAACATGCAGAGGCGTAGCTCGTCACAATAGGCCTACCATATGGGCCGGACATCGGTGTCACAATAGGCCTACCACAAGTCCGAGGCCACACTTCCTGGTCTATATACAAGAGCAAAATTACCGCAGAGGCCATTTTCCTGCATCCTGCCAGTTTTTTTCCCTTTTCTTTTGGTACTACCAGAAATGACTTCAGATTCAGAAATTGTAGAGTTCGTTACACGAAAAGGTTAAGTGATCGAGTCTATCAGCTGATGCTGCCAGCCTCTTGTGCGTGTCAGGTAATGACACGGCCATCATTCACATTTTTCCACGCGAGTGCCGGTACATGGAGCCGTCGGTCGTGCCTCTCTCGTGCTGACATAACAATGGCCACCACTATCCTCCGATCAAATCGGACACTGAAAATGCAACTTCTTTCCCGATGACAACATCCTTATCTCCAGACCCATCCAGGCGAAAACCTGGGACGTAACGTAAGGACAGAAGGCGGCACACGTCCCATACGGCAAATCTGAGGCCGTCAACCTTAGAACTTTGTCCCAATGAGACTGGAGCTTCGTGCAGGGACGTCTCCTGTCAGTGTAGCTGCAGCGAGGGCCGGGGTGACGAGATCACTGTCAGCCTTGCCCTCGCCAGAGACGTTCGTCTCCTTAGAACTTTGAACTGGTGGCTGCAGGCTGCCTGGACTCGTGTCGTCCTTCTTCCTTCAACACGGGTGCCTGCACTAGCTCTGGCACGCGCGGTGCCTGTCCTGTTCCGTTTCCCAATCAGCTTTCTGCTTTACACGCCAGGAACAGAGAGGGATAGCCAACATGAAAACAAGTGAAGGTGCCTCTCTTCTTGCCTCGTGCGTGCCTCTGACCATGATTTGCCTCCATTCTTGACAGCTGAGTCGGAAAAATAATGCTGTATATGTCGCCCTAATGCCTTGCAGGATTCAGCAACCAGGACGCGAATTAGGGAGATCTGATGTGCGTGCGTGCGTGCGTATAGGATGTACATGGCTTGAGGACTTCAGGATACGTATAAGGGCGTTCCCAACCGGGGATCAAATAGCTAGTCTAGATAAATTGCTATCGGCCAGAACAAGGACGGAAATACTAGCTAGTCTCGCACGTTTTTCCACGAAATCTCTCTCGCAGCATTCACGGGCTCTGCACTGTCACGTTCATTTTTTATTGTTTCTGCAGGACACGTAGCTAGCGATTTGTACGCTGTTGTTGTGGACGCCCTAACGACGTCGTCTTTGATTCCAATACGGGTAGGTAACTAGCTAGGTACGGGTCCAATCTCTGACGCAACACGAGAGGAAAACCGGGGTGTTTGCAAGACTCTGCAGCTCTGAAAACACCAGTCGGCAGTCGCAATGACGTGCTGGTCCGCGTTCGCGATCCGACGGAATCGATGTGAAAACGATGGCGTTGGCGAGCGACCGCAACTCCGCAAGCAAAGACAGGGCCAGGCAACCAGGCATCCTTTAAACTATTTGCACTGTAGCGATCGGTGGAATGAATATGGAGCGTCGATCGCAGAATCAAACGGCTGAAGGATTTCAGAGTGACGTGGCCCATCTGGTCTGCCGGGGTTAACCATAGGGCTGTAGAGTTGAATGATGATCTCGGCGTAGTGCACGACGATGCAGAGCGATCGACAGTACATGCACGTGGCAGGTGGCATTACCATGGATCAAGCATTTTACGGAGCATGGAACAACAACAACAATAATATATAATATATAAATCTAGCGGCCAAACTAGGCAACATGCCTTTTGCGGCTTTGCTTTTTCACATGGACCTCGATCTCGAAACTATCTTTCCAATATGAAAAAGTATACGCAAATCCAAATTTGTCCATAAAAATTATTCATTTTTGGCAAAAGTCTATTTATTTGAGAACTTATACTTACACACACTTTTATTTGGGTGATATACTAAAGGCATTGGGTACAATATCATCCGTTTGTCTAGCGATATTGTTTAAATAAGGTTATTTTATCTCAAATGTGAGTTTTCTAACCATTTATTTTCCAAAATTTCCACTTAGCGATATTGTTTAAATAAGAATATTGTTTCCTCAAAGGTGAGTTTCTCAATCATTTATCTTCCCGTGTCTTCCATTACGAAGAATCCAAAATGGTGAAAAATATGTTTCACATCTTGAGATAAAAAGGTTAGAGCCTAGATATTTGTTCCAAATTATTTGTTGTCATGTCCCATATGATGTATGTGACTTAAAACCATTTGCTTATAAGTGCAATATTTTTATGAGCCGCATTATCTTTTGACTGACACTTTGCCCAAAAATCCTAGAGCCAAAGTAGACTAACTACTTCGAAGCCCCTCTTTGAATAGCAAAAAAAAAAGCATCATGTACATTGGTAGTCTACTAAAAACGGAATTTACTGATGTTAAACGTCTCTTTGTTGACAGATGTTTTGCTAAACTTTTCTCAAATCGATCCCCCCCCACCCCCCACACACACACACCCTTCTATAATCCCACATGTCAGCTTCGTTCCTAAAGTGAATCAGAATACCTAAATATGTCATAAGGAATTCTCCAAGTCTACATTCAAAAGGTTGAGTATATTGCTCTGGGCATCACCAAACCCACCAAAGAAGTACACTTTACTCTTAGGGACCGTTTGAATCCCTTTATTTTGGAGGAATTGAAATCTACATATTAGATTAGACTATTTGGCTTAGAATTTGACATTCCATAACATTTCGAAGCTCACAAATAAGCCTATCTCAAATTCATAGGGTGGAAGATGGAAATATATTCTATAGATCACTATGCTATAATTCTATTCTTCAATTTATAGCACACTCTTCACTTACTTCCCTACAATAGAAATGCAACATATAAGTATGTCCCTTGCATGCCTAACAATAAATATACAAATATATTACATATACAACTATATTAACTTAATTAATCTATGCATAAATTATAATTATTAGAATGAATTCAATTCTAAGGATCCAAACGGGCTCTTATGGAATTGGTTCTAAGACTTGATGCTTGTTCAAAAGCATAAAGTACTTAATGTTTGAATTTTAAAGCTTGATCTATACCATTTTTTTCATAAAGAGTATTGTGTCATCGGTGTACTGCAGGAATGATAAACCATCATTTATTATGTATTGCACCACTCTTCTTAATTGTTCATCTTCTTTGGCTCTACTGATTAGGATTGTTAACATGTCTATAACAATGTTGAATAAAAGTGGAGATAACGGTTCTCTTTGATGAAGGTCTTTATTTGTTTGGAAAAAGTGTCAATCTCAATTCATTGCTACACTAAGCTTCATAATAGAGGTTTCAACCCAATCGATCCATTTGGGCGAAAAACCTTTCATATATAATGTTTGTAGTAGAAATGGTCATCTAAGCTTGTTATGGGCTTTTTAAAATCTATTTTAAAAATTATCCCGTTAAGTTTTTTTTTCTATAGCCTAGTTCATGTATTATCTCATGCAGGACAACCCTTTAAGAATATTGCATCCTCTCATAAAAGCCGATTGACACCATGTTGATGGATCTCATGCAGGACAACCCTTTAAGAATATTGCATCCTCTCATAAAAGCCGATTGACACCATGTTGAAATGGATAGTAGCTACTTTATCTCTAAAGATCATACCAATAAAATTGAGTAGACAAATGAATCCATCCTAGTCGATACGGTTCCTGTAGCACGTTCAGAACACAAGGGCTATGACTCCAAAGTTTAGGCTGAACAATGTAGTAGATCCTCATTGTGTAGATTTGTTGTCCTACGCCTAAACCGTCTAAGACATGTTTTTTTCTCCTATAACAAGCTTGTAGTTATATTTATAATAAAGAAAATCTAATGTCCACACTGGTAATGTCCTTTTCGTATTTCTCTTGGGAATATGAAAAATCATCATGGGGATTTATTTTCGGAAGTGTTTTCCTAGTTGTAAGATTCCAATTGATAGGTCATAAGTGCACACTTTTCAAATTTCAATCCCAGTTGTTTACTCTTTTCTGCTACAGATGGGGATGAAAACAAAGCTGTCGTTTTACAGCCTTGACCGCTACAGACCGTACTCATCTCAGTAACCTGCTGCCCCTTGCACAAAAGGACGGCAAGAAGAATGATCCTAGACCACAAGTCTAAGTGTTGATCGTCACAGCATTTTTCTACTGAAGGAATGGCAATATATAGATAGGCAGGGAACGTAGCATTCTTTCAAACGAAGACCGGCCGGCCATAAGTAGTGCGTGAGAAGGGACAGTGGCACCGGGCACAGCAAGTGGTCCCGAGAGCCACATCCCGCTCTCCACTCCACCAGTGCGTCTCTTCCGTCTTCGCCATGTCCAAGCAGCACGACGCCTCCGACGACGGCGGCATCCCCGCCGCCGAGGCGCCGGCAAAGCGCCCGCCCCTTAACAAGTACGCCCTCGCCTGCGCCGTCCTCGCTTCCATGAACTCCATCCTCCTCGGCTACGGTACGTGCACGCATGACATGACGCATACAATTCCATGCACCCGTTGCCATATGCACCACGTACGTGCACAGCCAATCTATTACGTACTCAGGTTCTGATCCTCCTTTTTTCTGTATGTATGTATGCAGATGTGTCGGTGATGAGCGGAGCGCAGCTATTCATGAAGCAGGACCTCAAGATCACGGACACGGAGATCGAGGTCCTCGCCGGCATCATCAACATCTTCTCGCTCGTCGGCTCGCTCGCGGCGGGCCGGACGTCCGACTGGATCGGCCGGCGGTACACCATGGTGCTGGCGGCGGCCATCTTCTTCGCGGGCGCGCTCATCATGGGCCTCGCCCCGAGCTACGGGATCCTCATGCTGGGCCGCTTCGTGGCGGGCGTCGGCGTCGGGTACGCGCTCATGATCGCGCCCGTGTACACGGCCGAGGTCGCGCCCACGTCGGCGCGCGGCCTGCTCACGTCCTTCCCGGAGGTGTTCATCAATACGGGGGTGCTCCTCGGGTACGTCTCCAACTACGCCTTCCACGGCCTCCCCGTGCACCTCAGCTGGCGCGTCATGTTCCTCGTCGGCGCCGTCCCGCCGCTCTTCCTCGCTCTGGGCGTCCTCGCCATGCCGGAGTCGCCGCGGTGGCTCGTCATGCAGGGGCGCATCGGCGACGCGCGCCGCGTGCTGGCCAAGACCTCCGACTCCCCCGCCGAGGCCGAGGAGCGGCTTGCCGACATCAAGAGGGCCATCGGCATCCCGGACGGCGTCGGCGACAACGACGACGACGACGTGGTAGTCGTCGCTCGCAGGAGCAAGCAGGGCAGCCACGGCGAAGGGGTGTGGAGGGACCTCCTCATCCGCCCGACGCCGCCCGTCCGCCGCATACTGATCGCCTGCCTCGGCCTCCAGTTCTTCCAGCAGGCCTCCGGCATCGACTCCGTGGTGCTGTACAGCCCGCGGGTGTTCGAGAAGGCCGGGCTCAGGTCGGACAACAACTCCCTGGGCGCCACCATGGCGGTGGGCGCGTCCAAGACGCTGTTCATCCTGGTGGCCACGTTCTTCCTCGACCGCGTCGGGCGGAGGCCGCTGCTGCTCACGAGCGCGGGCGGGATGGTGGTGTCGCTGGTGACGCTGGCCTCGGCGCTGCACGCCATCGACCCGCTCCCCGAGGGCCAGGCGACGCCGCTGGCGGGCGTGAGCATCGCAGCGGTGCTCACGTTCGTGGCGTCCTTCTCCATCGGCATGGGTCCCATCGCGTGGGTGTACAGCTCGGAGATCTTCCCGCTGCGTCTCCGCGCGCAGGGCTGCGCGCTCGGCACGGCGATGAACCGGATCATGAGCGGCGCCATCACCATGTCCTTCATCTCGCTCTACAAGGCCATCACCTTGGCCGGGAGCTTCTACTTGTATGCCGGCATCGCTGCTGCCGGCTGGATCTTCATGTTCTTCTTCCTGCCGGAGACGAGGGGCAGGAGCCTGGAGGACACCGAGAAGCTCTTTGGCGGTGGCGAGGACAAGGAAGATGGACACGATGTGCACAAGAAGTCCACTGAGTTGAGTAGTAGACAACAGTGACCTGATCTGCTAGTACGTACGCACGCTAGTATAACACGAACTGCTGAGTTGGGAATGTGGTCGGATTTGTCAATTCGCAACAGTGACATGATCTGCTAGTACGTCCGCATGCACAACCTGACATATCCTCTGTAGAAATCATGGTCACAACTCAAGAGAAGCAGAGTATAATACATGAAGGACCTTTCCACCTTGCCGAATCCGGCAAATTCTGTGATTACTGATTAGGGACCCGTGGCCGTGGGTGATCTTCAGCAACAGGGTCAAGACTCAAAAGGAGGACTCGTTGGCAAATTTGGGTCTTGAGTAATGGCAACACTACTCAGACTGTGAAATTGTTGCTGATTCTACAAATTGAAGCGTTGATTAAGACTGTGAGTAACATATCATGGTATAGAGGGCTGTTTGGTTTGCTTGCTTGATTGCCTTGCTTCCCTTTGATCAGCAAGGCTAGCCTTGCCAGCCTAGGTGAGCCAAATTGGCTCCCCCAAGCTAGCAACAGAAAATCTTGCTCGCACGGGAAACGACACAGGCAGCAAAGGAACCAAACGTCCTACCAATTTCAGTTTCTTGCCCGGCGAGGTGAGGCAAGCTCCAGCAAAGGATCCAAACGTGCGCCATGTGTTGGCCCAAGATTATTTGACAAATAAAAATGAATTTAAAAATCAAACTTAAAAACAAATATATGGACTTCTAATGATCTAGATAAAAAATAGCAACAATAAAGTTATAGATCGCAATGAGATCTAAAGATTTCAATTTTAAAAATTGATAACTCAAAATGGATATTTAAGCATCTAAATCATCTCAAATAGAGAAGTTGTCAAATACCAAGTTATAGATCATACCATGACCTACAATTCCTATATAAAGTTTTTATTAAGTCGGCTTAATATAAAAAGTTATGATTTTTCATATATAAGAAAAGGAGTGACTACTTGACATAGTGACATGTGGGCTCCATCGCCATGCCATGAAAACCATGTAGAAAACCACTATACATGATCCCAGGGGGTATTTTATCTGTTTTTTAAAAGTTTAGTGGGTAAATGGTATCATACATAAATTTGAGGATATTTTTTAAAATTCAACCAGAGGCGGAGGCTAGGGTAGTCGCAGGGGGCATGCCCCCCCCCCCTAACATCACTACGACATTTTTTAGTTAACGTATAGTTTAATAGTGTGTATTAATATAAAAAATATGATAATTTTTTTTGTCATATGTATTTATTGATGTCTTCTAAACATTAGAATCATACAAAACACAATTAAAATAATTTTTTTTAATTCAACTAGATTTGTCTGCTTACCATATTAGCACACATTTAATAAAAATTTAGATTTTAATAAATATGTACTTACGTTTTAATATATTTTATATTTAAATAGACTCAAAATTTAACTAGTAATAACAATTCAGTGGTCATCAATACTTTATTGTCATCGATAACTAACCTGGTGTAGTGGTGGAGGGAAGGTTAAAGACCTAGAGCTAACTAATTTCTGTTTTTCTCTATAATTCTCTATAACATTCAGTGTTATTTTTTTAATTTTCTTGGTTGTTACGTACTTATCTCTCCGCCCCAAAAATAATACCATGGTTTAGACCAAGTTAAACTTTGTCAAGTGTGACTGTATTTATAAAAAAAACAGTATGCATTTGTATCTCCAAAGAGGTCTATTATAAAAATATATTTTATTATATATCTAATAATTGTTATTATGCATCATAGCTATTAATAGTTTTTATATAATTTGGTGTAAATCGAAATGGATTGACTCCTTATAAAGAGAGGACAACATTCTTTTTGGATTAGAGGGTGTACATTATTGTCGTATATGTATTTTGTCATGCATAATTGTTGTCTGTTTGAACATGTCTAAATTCTGGCTCCGTCCTTTTTTTTGAAAATTTCTGGCTCCGTCCTTAATTCAAAGAGGATAAATTGGACACTACTCAAGAAGACAAGAACTTTTAGTCTTTTTAACGAAATCTCAACAACTTTAGGTTTTCTTTAGGGAATCTCAACAACTTTAGGTGAGAAGACGAGCAGCAGCAGCCCACTGCATAAAGCCCAATAAGATTGGGAGATAGCCCATGGTCTCTGTTGAGTGGGAAGAAAAGAGAGCGCTACCAAACAAAACACACAAATCCACGCTCGACGACTACCCCTCGGACCTCGGTCGACCAGAATCAGATGTTCCCTTTCCAGCCACTGATGGTCACCCCTTTGTCCATTTTTTTTTTTTTTACTTTTTAGATTTAGACTCCGGATTTTCGATGAACTATGCTGGAATTCGCTGGAGAATGAAAAAACAATCGGTGAGACTGGCCCAAAATCTGTGTGAATCTCACTTGCAGTACTCGTCACTTGAAACGTGAATATCACTTGTGATTTCTGAATCTCTCAGCTCGAGAAAGTATTGCTTTTCAATCCCAAATAGGCCACCGACCTAAAGGCTGGCCGAAAAGTTCGCAACTCGTTAACTCGCGCGACTCGTAGTTAGCTTGGCTCGGCTCGTTGTATTTTTTTTAATGAGCTAAGCTGAAATTTTAGCTCGTTAAAGATAACGAGCCAGCGAACGAGCTGGCCGCGAGCCAACTGAGCCAAGAAAATCAGCAGGCCAGGAGCGGAGGAGCCCCAACTCCACTTAGCCCAGCACAGTCCACTTCAAGTCGGCACAAAGTGAACCCTAACCTGAGTCTAAATCCAGACCTGCCCGCCGCATCCTTTCCTCTCGCGCAGCCGCACGAAGCCTCAGGCTCCAGCAAGCAGGCGGCACTCTCATCCATCTTGCGTGGGCTGGTCGCCCGGGTCGCGCGCTCTCGCGCCGCTCTAGCGAGATGCAAGGCTATGAAGCTGCGAACCTCCAGCCACCTGGCATCCCATACAGGAGCAAGCTCAAATGCTTCATCATGCGTCTCTTTCTATAAGACTATCTCTCAAAATATAAGATCCATTCGACATTTGGGTAGCGCTACTATTTCGATATCTTATCCAACAAAAGGATCTTTTTTGAAGGAGAGAATCCTTTCTCGCTCTCAAAATGGGTTTTCCATGAGAGATATGTCACCTGTTGAAGACGGTCTGATCGCATCTGATTCCAGAAGGCAGGACAAGGCACTGAATGGTGAGCCTTCGATTTGCGTTGGCATTTTCTTGGATCGTAGATTAGCTAGTATTTTTTATTTGATTCTTCTTGTAAAGGCCGATGTGCTTTTTGTGACTGATGAAGGATTGCCGTTGTTTGGTTCATTATTGATGTTTCTTCTGTAATGGCGAATTTTAGCCATCTCCTGCACGCCGCTCTTATTTTGGGTTTCCATGCCCATATATGTCACCTGTTGGAGACGGTCTGATCGCATCTGATTCCAGAAGGCAGGACAAGGCACTGAATGGTGAGCCTCCGACGCAGCACGCCATGGTCGACCATACAGCACGCCGCTCCCTCCTCGCCTCTTTTGCGCCACCGAGCTCGTGAGCTAAAACTAGCTGGCTCGAGCTTTTAACGAGGCGAGTCGAGTTGAACTTTTTGCTCGTGAGCTAAACAAGCTGGCTCGGGCGCTCGGCGTCCACGTCTACACCCACCACAGAACGCAGCACAACACCGTAGCCGAAAATTTCACCGCAGGCATGCCATGGACATATATCCGTACGCAGCGCGGAGTCCACCTCACCGCGCAGGGTGGGCCAAGTGGCTGAGAACGGGGCACACCTCACGCGCCACGACATCGGCGACCACCACCCTCCGTCGCCACGGCGCCACGTCTCGCCCATGCACGGTCACAGCGCCACCGTCCCCCCACGCAGCGTCCCCGAGGGCGCAAGCCTAGCTGCTTATCAAGCGGCCCAAAGCGAGCTCCAACACAACTGCAGATCGCAGCCCGTGCGGCGACGGGAAAAACAGAACAGATATACGGAGTATATTGTAGCTAGCTGCCTAATAGCTTGGGTCATGGCGGTGGCGACGACTGCTCGGTGGCTCCTCATGCTGCTGCTCCTGGCCGTCGTCTCGGCGGCCGCGGCGTCGTCCGGGAAGAAGCAGCACGAGAGATGGAGGGTGAGCGGCGCGTTGGGCGGCCAGGTGGTGGAGAAGGAGAGACGGCGTGCGGTGGCGGAGAGCGAGGCCGGCTCGGTCACGGCCGTGGACGTCGCCGACGCGGCGGGCACGGCGTACCGGCTGCACTTCATCACCATGGACCCCGGGGCGCTGTTTCTGCCCGTGCAGCTGCATGCCGACATGGTGTTCTACGTTCACAGCGGTAGGTGACTTGTGACATGCTTGCTGTGTTACGCACTTAGTAATAAGCAGACTTGTCCTTGATAGAACAACCTTCTGATTACAGAACACAAGTGTCCTCTCTGTATGCCAGCAGCCGGTTTTTTTTTTTTTTTTTGAAACTTGAAAGAGTCTGTGCTTTGTGAGACAGGGCGGGGTAAGGTGACTTTCGTAGAAGAAGAGAGCGGCGAACAAAGTTCCCTGGAGGTGGAGCGAGGAGACGTCTACAACTTCGAGCAGGGAAGCATCTTGTACATCCAGAGCTACCCCAACGCCAGGAGACAGCGTCTTCGGATCTATGCCATCTTCACCAGCGATGGCATCAACGCCGATGATCCCTCGGTAATGAACCTCGATCCTTCCTCTGCATTGCATGGTTGACACCCCCTCGGTACACTTTGTGATTGAGTGATTGTTGCGTGTGTCAAAGCAGAAGCCCAAGGTGGAAGCTTATTCCAGCGTCAGTAACCTGGTCAAAGGGTTCGAGACAGATGTTCTTCGCCAAGGATTTGGGGTAAGTGAAAACGAACTGGTACTATTGCATAGTGCCCCGGCCGTATATGACATACGCCTGGTGATCAGCAAGTTAATCGATCCCATCTTTCACAAGGTCAAACCAGAGGTGGTAGAAGCGATCAAATCTGCGCCGACCCCGCCACAGATTATAGCCTACAACCCAGAGGAGAAGGGGGACGAGAAAGCCAACTGGACTGAGGACATGGTTGACGCGCTCTTGGGAGTGCGCGATCCGGAGGAGTTCCTGAACAAGAAGAAGAAGAAGGACAAGGACAAGCACAAGAGCAAGGATAAGGACAAGAAATCCAAGAGCAAGGCGTTCAACTTCTACTCTGGCAAGCCCGACGTCGAGAACTGCTACGGGTGGAGCCGGACGATGACCAACAAGGACCTCGACGCCCTGCACGGATCCAACATTGGCATGTTCATGGTGAACCTGACCACGGTAATCCATCACGCGATTAATCTCAGCATGCCGCGTTAATCTATCAGCACGTACGTCAAATGGTTCTTGCATAGTTGCATTGTGCTAATGGTATCAACGACGATCCACCGGTTGGTTTGTTTAATTTGCAGGGCTCGATGATGGGGCCTCACTGGAACCCCAAGGCGACGGAGATCGCCATCGTGACGGACGGCTCAGGGATCGTGCAGACGGTGTGCCCGAGCAGCACCCTGTCGGGCGGGAGCAGGAAAGGGCACCACGGGCACAAGCGGCGCGGCGGGCCAGGAGGCCGCGGCGACGAGGACGAAGACGAAGGCGGCCGCTCGCGGTGGCAGTGCAGGAACTCGGTGTTCCGCGTGAAGGAAGGCGACGTCTTCGTGGTGCCGCGGTTCCACCCGATGGCGCAGATGTCGTTCAAAAACGGCTCGTTCGTGTTCGTCGGGTTCAGCACGCACATGGGGCAGAACCACCCGCAGTTCCTGGCCGGGAAGGGCTCGGTGCTGCAGGCCAATGGCAAGAAGGTGCTGTCGCTGGCGCTGGGGCAGCCCAACTCGACCGCCGTGGACAAGCTGTTGTCCGCGCAGCGCGACTCGACGATACTGTCGTGCATTTCGTGCGCCGAGGAGCTGGAGGGGAAGGCGGCGAAGGAGGAGAAGAAGCGACGGGAGGAGGAGGAAGAGAGGAAGGAACGGGAGGAAAAGGAGAGGAAGGAACCGAAGGAACGGGAGGAAGAAGAGAGGAGAGAGCGGGAGGAGGAGGAGAGGAAGGAACGGGAGGAAGAAGAGAGAAGGGAAGAGGAAGAGGAGCGGGCCAGGAAGGAGCAGGAGAAGCAGCGGAGGAGAGAGGAAGAAAGAGAGACGGAAGAGGAAGAACGGCGGAGGGAGGAGGAAGAAGGTGGAGGCGGACGTGGAGACGAGCCAGAGAGGGAAGAGGAGGAAGAGGGAGGTGACGAGCCACCGTATCGCATGTCCGAAAAATTGAAGAAACGCAACCGTGCTGGTATGTTCAGGAGTGTCTGAGCGAGCAGCCGAGCAGGGCTCTAGCCCCTGCTCCCTACAAATAAACAGGGGCCTCGTACAGATGGCCACTTGCCAGGTCACCACCACTCGTACAAAGAACCACCTGCCAGTCGACTATGTAGGTCGTGATGTGTTTGTCTTCGTCGAGTCGTTCGCTAAACTGTGCTGCACGCTGAGTTCCAGATCCCGCTTGTATGAAATGTACCATAAATAAGCAGATTTCAGTGTTCATGCGTGCTGCTACTTGCTACGTTGCTAGACTACAGAATAGCATGCTGCTCGAGTGCTCGTGCATCCTCCATCCCATGCCGCTTCACTGGATCATAGGTGTGCTCTTGATGCCAAATCATGCGGATTCACTGAATCATAAATCATAGGAGTGCTCTTGATGCCAATCATGCGGATTCCTGAATCATAAGGAGTGCTCTTAATACCGTAGTGGTACAAGGCATTCGGAGAGAGTTATAGTTGGTAGAGCTTACTAATGAACTAATGATACTGTGCTACTCGAGTGCTCGTGCATCCTTCATCCCGGTTCACTTTAACATCAAAGGAGCCATATCGCTCTTGATGTCGTAGTTAAAGGATTGCTCTTGATGTCGTAGTTACCAAGAAGACAAGACATGGACAAAGTTTCCATAATTGTTTGTCCAGAGACGCACTATAAGAAATTTAATTTAACCCAATGATAACCTGGTGAGCGTTACTTGAACACGCATCCTCCCCCAGATTTTGCATTAGACGATTGTATTCTAACAAATGGTTCCAAAATCACAAGATACACATTTACAGCTGCAAACTATACAAAATGTTGATTCTGGATTCCGGGGGGTATGAAAGCAGTTTTGCCAAGTACCATCGACCGACAGGATGAGATATTTGTTCACACCGGAATAGCTATTCCCTTGCTTGACATGCTGTCAAGGATGTCGTTCAGGGCTTGGCACAGTCCAGCAATCTGCAAGTATCAAGCAAGCACAACCGATCAGGCCGGTTAATCAATTTTCTTGAAAATAATAATTGGCATAGGTGTCAAATAGCAGGAGGTTGTGGAGACAACGTGAGGAATCTGTGCTACAGGTGAGTGCAGATTTGTCTGCGTGCATTGTCTTTCCAATTTTCCATTTCCATGACATGAGACGCTTATGTGATACTAACCTGCTGATCCCATTGCTGTAGCTCTTCGGTGTCATCATCAAAATGTATCACAGCCTCAACCTGAGAACCAACAGAAAATATTTGGGCGAACATGGTTCAAATCACTATTAACATACAAGGGCAAATCTATCACAGAAATTTTTAGGCTTCAACATCAGATAGGTCACCTGATCAATTGAACCCCGCATTCTATCCTCATAAATCATCCGGGATGCTATCTTCTCAGCCTGTCAATATCCAAATATTGGGAACTACGATCAAATTTGGAAAATCACAAAACATACTGGAACCTGAATTGACTATCTGTAGTCTGGTACTCATGATACAAAGGATTCATCTACAACGCAGCTTTTAGGTGCTGCACATATACCAACGTAAGCAAGCAAACACGTAATAATACATCATCAGTTACACACACACACAAAAAAAAAAAAAGAAAAACAAAAAAAAACTTAAGTAAGCTAGGCCAAACAAAACTTTCCAGCTCATGGGAAATAAAACTATATATGGTGCATACTTACTAAGTCTTCACGGTAGTTTTCCTCATATATAAAAACAAAGCTAAAGCACTCCAGATTGACTGAAGGGCAGAGAAGATGTGAAGATAAGGAGAAATATCTCTGCAAAGGGGCTTACCTTCCTTGGATCAATCCCCAATAATGTCCCAAGCTCATCAAAGCTGCAGAAATAAGATGTTTGATTAGCATGATTAGATCCTAATGAATTTAGTAAACATGGGCAAGTCAGTTCACCTGATATTTGTGTAAAGTTTACTGGCGCTAAGGAGATTATGCTCGATCATTGCTCGGTCAAGCACAGTCGACCTATCTGGTAATAAAGCTTTCTGTAGATTGAAACAAAACGAACTGTTAAGACATCATAGATAACAAATTGTTTTAAAATCGAGCATATAGAGGTCAACTAACTTGATGCGGCCTCAGCTCCTCTGCAAATGCATCAATTTCTGGTTTCCTCAAAATCCTTTCAAGATAAACCTGAAAGATTTGGGCAAGACTTGTCATTATCAGCAAAGAAAAAATTACATTACAGGATATAATGCCTAGAGATTAATTACTAATAACACACCTTCTGCAGTATTGGGTATATCTTCAACTTCGAGCATCTTTCATCCTGAAAGGGGCATAATGCAATAAGAGGCAAAATAAATGCATCGAGTGTAAATAAAGCAAAAGAGACGAACACGATAGATAAGGTGTGGACTCGCAGCCTCAAAGTTGAACCCAAACATCTAGATTACAAGACCAAAAAATGCATATAAAAAAAAGGGCGTACCTAGTGCAGAGAGCTCCCGCTCTGTACGGGGTCTGGGGAAGGGTGTTAGTGGCAAGCCTTACCCTCACCTGTGCAATGCGAGGAGACCGCGACTCGAACCCGGGACCTTCCGGTCACAGGCGGTAAGACTCCTAAAAAATGCATATATACACACTAATTGCACTGGGAAAGATCTGAAACCACCCAGCTCAAGCCAGAAGCTAGAATTTTTGCCAGCCCATATTTACCAGATAAGACATAAGCACCCAGATTAATTGGTATTTGTTGCTTCACCTTGACAGAGAACAAGTGAGATGAATATTACAGTTTACAGCTTGACTAAACTATAATAAGCTAAACATGCAACATATGTTTATATAACTGAGATGAACAAATCCAAAGCATTTAACACACAATATATCTAGAGAGTTGTATTCCATTGCTCACAATTGTAAAGCACAGCTGAGGGTAGATACTGCCAGCACGTAATCCAAGTACATTGAGATGAGACGACAAAAATGATACCTTGTACAGAGTAGCAAGAACACGGGAACGTTGTGGACCAGCACCAGCCAATATTGTGCACGTTACAGCAGCACTAAGAGCTTGCTCCAGTGCATTTTCATCAATCTCTCTGGCATCATATACAATTTAGGTTCCATCAGAATAACCATTGCAGTTTAGAAGAAAACAGGAAAACCATATGTCTCATGTTATAACTTGCAAAATTAATCACACAACCAATGTACGAAACATAAAAATGTTACTTATATATGAAATAATTAATAATAAAAATAAAACAAATGAAATAATAAGAAATAAGAAATAACAATAAAGGGCATAGTAATAGAGACCAGGCACCAGCAAGGCAAAAGGATAACCATGCAGAATAACCTTTTAAGGCTGCGAAATCAATCACACAACCAATTTCCAAAACAGCAAAATGTTGCTTATGTATGAAATAGTAAATCCATAAAATGAGTGAAATAATGAGAAATATGAATGAAAAGCATAGTAATAGAAACCAGGCACTAGCAAGGCAGTGGATAACCATGCAGAACAACTTTTTAAGGCCGCGATGAAAAGAACATATTGCAAATCCTTACTCATCTCCAATCTTGCGTTGTTCAATCTGAGAGATATCATAATATCGAAGTGCAGCTTCCAGGAATCTTCTTTTCAGATCCAAAATCCTTGCATAACAGACCTTGAAAAGGAATAAAAATATAATGCAGAATCAAGCTTTTGCCTAGCATGTAAAAAAAATATATATATTGTTCCACTGTTCCCAAAATAACAAACCTTGTACTGTAAGTTTAAAACTTCCTGGTGGCTACTGGTGACCAAAAATGAAGCCTTGTTGATAAAAGCCTCGGCATTCACTGCATCATCATCCTAAGAAGAGAAGAATTAAATGAGTTCAGCAAACACTGAGAATTGATGGCATACCAGAAAACGAGCAGTCGAGCACTAACCTCTAAATAGAGTCGTGCAATCTGGACACACTTGGATAATTTGTTGGTGTCATCAAGCATCCTGATTGAAAGGAATAAACCAAAACTTCCGTGTCAATATGTAGTACTCCATTCATATTACATGAAAAGAGTCAAGACAAATCAGTTTCTACCTGATTCCTGAGTCCAAGTCAATCCCACTTAGCATTTGTGCTGCTTTTGACCATTGTTGTTCAGACTCATACAGCTCTGCAAGCTTCTCTCTAATCACTACCACCTGTGGATAAACAATCAGACAATTTAGATATAGTGATTGTTACCAACAGTTCTTTACAAATTACCAACTAAGGTCAGAGATGGCATTGTGAGTGTTTGTAGACAGCTGAAAATGGTAATAGCATTCTGGAGAAATTTTATTCTGTGCATGTGAATAGAATCTGGCATAACGTAACCTTTTCCCCTGCTGATTTTAAATTTAACAGATCTGATATTTACATGTTCAAAGCTTAGTTTCTTAACGTGAGCACACATTTCTTTAACTTCCATCATTGTGATCACAATATGTCTCGACATGTCAAGCAAACAGCACAACCACAAAAGAAAAAGTCATCAGAGCAATATATAGAAGATGAACAGAATAAAGTGTCATTGGTGTAAATACCATTTTTCCTTTCTTTGCTTTTACCAATCTATCAAATAGCCTTTATGGTTAGGCAGGAAAATTAATTGCAACAAATGATCCAAAGGAATGGGTGCAACACTCCAACTGCTCCTTATAACAGGTGCTTTAGCAGCTTGACGCAGATAAGGCCACAGCATACCGTATAGATTACAACTCGAAGAAGACAATTTAACAATAACATAACAAGAAGACAATTTAACAGCAACGTCATACAGCCAACCTATTGATGCATATATTTATGTACTGAATGCACAATAACCTGTGTTGGACTTCGTTGGTTCTTGGTCGCCGGTTGGCCGAACCCTTCGTGTTCAGTACAATTAGGCAGTTCGTTGGTTCGGAGGTGTTTGCGTTTTGGATTGTCAAACTTTTGTAATTTCGTTGCTTTTAAGTAATGAAATTTGGTTTGGCCGTGGTGGAAAAAAATGTACTGAATGCACATGAACACGTATCATGTGGCAGCATGAATCTCCAGTATGGTGTTTACCATATCCATTAAATACATTATTACAAAGAAACAGAACATGCGAACAAATGCCCCAATAAAAATGGAAACAGGGACAAACAAAATAAAAGAATTCTCCAACTTTCCCAATCAAATACAGTGCCAAAATTTACTACTATCCATATTCCTATAAATTAACAGCTTACTAGATCAGTCAATATATACAGATTCAAAGAGGATACACTCATCAGGAGAACCATGAGGCCTTAACAACATGATGACCTCTCCATCAATAACTACCATCAACCAAACAATACATATCATCAGGCAGACTGATAATTTTTAGAGAACCACACAGGACCTTAAAGTTTGCTTTCTCTCCATGTTGGATAGTAGAGTCTAAAGTCTAAACTATGAAGTTACCATACAGAAATAACAGTTGCTAGCATTGAGGTGGTAAGCTTGAATTGTTGCATCATCCCTTAACTAACATAAAAAGGGCGTACCCAGTGTAGAGAGCTCCCGCTCTGTGCGGGGTCTGGGGAAGGGTGTCAGTGGCAAGCCTTACCCTCGCTTGTGCAATGCGAGGAGACCGCGACTTGAACCCGGGACCTTCCGGTCACAGGCGGTAAGACTCTACCGCTTGCACCAGGCCCGCCCTTCATCCCTTAACTAACATCAATAAAAAATTTCAAAACATTACAGGCATATGATTCATAAATAACATCACAAACAACTACTCCCATTAAGGCACCCACACCATACAAAGGGTTATAGAATGGACAGAATAAAACAAACTGACATTCTAAACCAACTTGGCAACCAATTGCAGTACAGCATTTAGAAGCTAATGTAGTGGTATGTGGTTAGTTTAAAGTAGCATTCGCAGGAGCAAACCAAGGTGGTCAACCTGCTCCTCGAAGGAGACCACGCGCGGCTGGATCTGCGTGAGCGCGTAGTGGGCGACCTCCTTCTGCGCGTCGGACTCCAGCTTCCCCAGGTCCTGGGCGAACGTCTGCAGCAACTGCCGCGACACAACGAGCGGCACCTCGTCCGACACCACTGCAATCGCATCGATACCAACAATTAAACACAGAACAAGAGCAAAATCGCCCAAAAAAATAGTTCTAGGGTTCTAGATTAAAGCGCATTACTGTGACCGAGGAATCGCTTGGCCTGGGAGATGTCCGGTGGGGAAGACGAGAGGACCGAGGCGAGGATGTGGCGGTACTGCTCGATCTTCTGGCGCTGGTCGGCGATCGCCGCCGCGCTCGCGAGGGAGCTGTCCATGGCTTTTACCGGCGCCGCTGGCACGGGTAGCCGGAGGGAGGGGTTGGAGGGTGTGGCCGGGGCCGGAGATGGAGAGGGGGACGGGAGCTAGGGTTTTGACGTTCGATCTGCGGCGAGAAGACAGGAGATATCGTGAGACGTTCTGCGTTTACACAAGAAAACTGCATAGGGTGCTTGGAATAATAGTATGGGCTTCGTTTTATCCTGGGCCAAAATTTCGGCTACGTCGTAAGGCCTAAAATGCATTTACGTTGGGCTTTGGGCTTACAAATTTCGGCTACGTCGTAAAGGCCTAAAATGCATTTATGTTGGGCTTTGGGCTATATTTAGCCCACTCAGCTAGCTTGAATTACCTATCCTGCCCAAAACAGTACCCCCTCCGGTAGATAAATGAAGTGGTTTTCACAGTGACATGGTCTACGAAACATAACTTTGACTTCTTATTTTTATTAAAGTATATTTATTGAAAAGTGTTATATATATATATATGTTTATGAAAATATTTTCAAGACAAATCTATTCATATGGTTTTTACATTTTCAGACTCAACGACTTAAATGTTATTCATGATTTATATTCCCAATATTTGATCCAAACCTGGTCAAAAATGACTTCTTTTACCAACCTGGAGGGAGTACTTCTCAGTTTCGTTACAGGAAGGAAGGGGTTAGATTTGTTGTGATAGGAATTATTCACCCGATGTCATCGGCTTATATTTTCGTGAATTTATTTTAGAATTTAGCAGTATCATTCTTTATTGGTAAGCAATATACATGTACATGTATGTAAATGTCTGCATCTAGTGTGATTAAAAAAATTAAAAAATATATTTTTTCAAGAAAATAAAAGGAGTTACAGTAGTGATTAGACTTTGAAACGACTTTGTCGCCGTTGCAGTTTTCAGCTACTCCCTCCGTCCAATAATATTTGCACGTCTAGCCCTGGACACGCAAACCAATGTGTATGCGAAATTACAGAAATGCCCTTGCAAATATTAGCCCCAATACATCCTCCTCGACCCGTCTTTGGTATGCACCACACCACTCCTCTCGCTCGCACATGATCTCTCTGTTGAAACTGATGTGTACTCTGGCGATAAGCTCGTGAAGCGTCACTCATCGCCTTTTGAACAGCCACCGTGGGCGTCCAAGTAGTTACAGAGATATGCACCATCGGCGACGTCGCCCAGCGCTGCCTCTGCTTCCAGTGCCTCGTCTTCCTTTCTCCGACGAGGCGACGAGCTTCTTTCTACCACTTGCACCTTGCATTACACGTTATGGTTCTCTCGGTAAAAGTAAATGAATCGAAGCCCCCCGTCAAGCGCCTGCTCCATCGCGTTCAACCCGGCGGCGGTCCAAGGCGCTTGGCTGAAATCCCGCTCCATTGGCGAGCCGAGCCCATGTGGTGGTGTTGCGAGGTCCGACCAATCGCTGCGACGGCTATGCGCGCGGACCCCGCATACGATGGCGGCTGGCGAGAAAGAAGCGAGAGGAAGGAGGTAAGCTTGGTAAATTTCAATGTAGGCAATGTGAAGCCTATTACAATGCGCTGCGTGATGGCGGCGCTTGAAACTCCTGCGTGTAGGACGCTGTTGCGGCGATGCTCACCGCCCTCTGATATCTGCGACAACAGAAAGCGAGCCGTCGTCGTGGCGGTGGCGTCGGGAAGCCCGACAACAAGAGTTGCTTCTATCCGGGCGGCGCTGCTACAAACTACGGCCCACGGCCGACCGGATGAAAAGTATCCACGTCGGCGTTTATCGGCCCATTGTACTTGTATTCTTAACCCAACCCCTACGCAACTGCACGCAGGCGGCGCTGATCGAATGGGAGGGAAAGGGGGACGAGTGGACGGTGCGGCGGAGGAAGAGATGCGCATGCAAACAAGTGGATGGTGGAAGGAGCGCTCTCACACCAGTGCTGTAGACGGGGAAGGGATGAGCAAGAAGCCACGGAGTGGGTTCTGAAAGCCTGGTGAACGAGTGGACGAGAGAGTTTTCCTATTTTTTTATGTCGATTTTTTATTTCATCGGTTTGGTCCATAGCCAGTTGCAGCTGCGAGCTACTGCTCTCTGCCAGTTCTGAGACCCTATAGCGACCGTTTATTTTGAGAATTTTTTTGAACGGTAAAGGTGCGCTTAATGTGGGACTGAGGGAGTAGTATATATACTGAACACGTAAAGAAAGACCGGAGGAACGGTGGGAAATGTTACTCCGTTTTTGGATCAGCCCCTGTACAGCAGATTGGCGGCATGTCCTGGCGTTGCACGCAGCGTCGCAGGTGCCTAGTATCCGTGTATACGATCACAACAATTCTACAATCATGCTACTCCTCACACCTCACTCCTGGCAGGACCAGCGCCGTACGTATAGTCGAACGATGACCGCTGATACAGCCTACCAGCAGTTAATTCCGGCGTCCGGTGCCATACCAAAAAGATGGCAAGATACCACCCGTCCACCCTGCGGCTGCCACCGGGACGCAATCCGACACACCCACCAACGTTGCATTCCACCTGGTGGCCCGTGGCCGCCCGCCTGCCCTGTGGCTGTCCTCCGGCCGCCTCATAACTCCTCCTCTGCCCCGATAAAAGCTGCACGCTTCCTTGTCCAACGTGAAACCACATCAATGTTGTGTTGCATGCGCGCAGGCCGTGTCCGTCGTCCGTCGCGGTCAGGCACGAGGCCAGCAGAGGTGCAGGACCACTGGAGGGGAGCAGCAAAGCAGTCCTGCACGCGGCGGCAGAGGCGGCAAGCGGAAGCAGCGACGGCTCCAATCACCCTCGCCTACGAGTTCAATGCGCAACAGCTCCCCGCAGGCCGCGGCATCAGCCAGCCGTGCCACGGTTCGCGGCTTCGCGCTCGCGCCCATGGGATGGGACACCCGCTCGTGCGCTCGCGCGTGGACGACGCGAGGGTCTCCTGAAGCGGAGTGGTCCGAGACCGGGGAGGGGAGACGGCCCCGGCACTACTGCGGCCATGCCCGCCCGAGCCGGCGATCGGGACGCCAATCCCTTGCAAGCGGCCGAAGGGCAGGCGGGCGAGCGCAGGCAACAGTGTCCCCCCGGCGCGGACGGCAGCGGGACAGGGTTTCTGCCTTCTGCCACGTGAGCACCAGCAGCCCTGCCCACTTGCCCAACAGGCCAACACACAACACAAGGGTCTGAGTGCCCCCCACAGCGGCCCAGCGCGTGCGCGCACCAGAAGTTCCGGGATCAGAAGTCAGAGCACACACAGCCCGCTTCTCACACGGAAACTCACGCACGCCCTCCCGAGTCTCGACCGTCCCTGTGTGTGCTGGTTGCTTCAACGGTCGCACGGTCAAAGAGGTCCACAGCATCCAGCATGTCATGTGTGCAGTGTTAACGATGCCAGACATGTGTGTGTACACAGGCGTGCTCGCTGGGATGGTCTGCTCTGCCGTAATAGACATATTCATGGCGTGCTTGCGTTTTAATTGCTCTCGACTTTTCTACGGGCTGCTGCTGGCTAGTCTACTTTTGAAGTTTTGCTGTACTACAAGCTACGGTGACCGTCGATAGCGCACCGAAAATGACCGGTCAGTCATATGATCGTTTTTTGGGTTCAGGTTTTGTAGTAGGTAAGAGGCTATCTCTTGTCACTAATTCAGAACAGTGTGCTGGAGTTGATTGGGTTGGTGGCGATGGTATGGTCCCCAAGTTAGGACTAGTCAATGCCGCCGTAGAGTCCCACTCCATGCTGGCTGTAAGTAGGCCATACATTGCACCCACATCTCCTGCCCTCCAGATGAAGCTTGTGGAGTCCAAGAACAAAAACACGGGAAACAACTCTGGAAAGGCTTTCAGGTACGATCCACCCGATCTGACGGCCAATTGCAAGCATAGCAGATAGAAAGAACAGCAGCGCGTTACCAAAAAAAAGGGCAAGGCCGGCAGGCCGCCTTGACAGTTGACACCTGACCTGATTACAAAATACCCAGCGCATCAAAAACTACCGGAAGCACACGGCGCTAAGTTAAGTGTCTGGTTAACCATTCACGGTGAATCTGAGAACACGTCACCCTGTTTACAAGCCGACAGTAACCGAAGGGAAGTATCCAACGCGACAGCGATATGGCGCGCGACAATATGCCTGAAACTGGGATTTGGACACGCGCGTAGGAGTACGCATCTCAGCATCTGCATCCGTCTGAACGTACGTGCACTTGATTCGATTGCATGCCGTAATTGACTGAAGGGGGTTGTTAAATCATGCCAACAAAACTTCCCCGTGCGTCTGCCGTTTGCCGGACAGGGCACTGAGAGATGGCCGATCCCGGCCGTTGGATCGACACTGTGACGAACTTATTAGCCTGGCTTTTTCAGCGAACAGACGCCCCGGGCGAAAAGGACCATGATAAATTACCAAGATGATCTAGCGGGCAAGGCACCACACGAACTAGAATATTCAGAGCGATAGTGATGGACCAAAAAAGGCTACGACTAGCGCTACCACCTTGTTTATTTATGGCTGTTTGGTTTTTTAGTCGCTCCTAAAATTTATGTCACATTAAATATTTAGATACTAATAAAGAACATTAAATATAGATTAATTATAAAACCAATTACATATATGGAGGCTAATTTATAAGAAGATTTTTTTAGCCTAATTAATCTGTCATTAGCACATTGTTTACTGTAGCACCACGTTGTCAAATCATGGACTAATTAGGCTTAAAAGATTCGTCTCACAAATTAGTCGCAAGTTGTGTAATTAGTTTCGTAATTAGTCTATATTTAATACTCCATACATGTGTCTAAACATTCAATGTGACATGAATTTTAGGAGCGCATGTAGAAACCAAACAATGCCTTATTTAGAGTATATTACACTTTTAGCATATATCTAATAACATGAATATCTCCAAATGACACTCTCCATTTTGGTATACGTATGTGAGTTTAGCTCTTAATTAAGAGCGGACTTTTCTCTCTTTTCTTCTATTAAAATAAAAAAAATTAGAGCTAGCTTGCAAGTCAT